CGGAGGGGTGAGGGAGACTAGGAGGATGGGACCCGTGGGGTAGAAAGCGGGGGTCGTAGTTGGGTGGAGCGGCGTCCCCACCCCGGCACTTTAGAACATTCCGCCTGGACGTCCGGGCTTTCTAGGAGAGGAAGGCGAGCCCGGCGGCCGCGCCCACAGGGGTCTGCGCGCCCCGCAGTAATAACTAGTTCTGGGCAGACACTTACGTCCGTGCGTGGGAGGAGCCAGTGTCTGCCTGGCAGGACTGAGGTCGGGTCTGGGAGGAGGCCCAGAGGTCACCGTAGGCTGACCCTTGTGCCAGGAAGGAGGCAAGGAGCCCCGGGATTCATGTCCCCCAACCATGTGTGGGCTGGAGGTGGTTAGAGGATTATCTTTGCAGTTGGCGTTGTGCAGAGAGAAGTTTGAGCTCTGACCCTGAAGGGGTGTACAAAGTATTTGGGAAAGCAGCATAGCGGAGAAAGGGGGGCCATGCAAGTGGTAGGGTAGACTCTGTACAGGAATAAAAAACAGGTAGGATTGGCCTAACTAGTGTGGTCAGTTCACTAGGTGCTTTATTTGTGGCCTGGGCTGGGCCTAATTAGATGGATGGTGTCCAAACAAGAGGAAAAGGAGGGAGAGTTGTAAGTGTCCAAGTTAAGAGTCTAGGTCCAAGAGAAGGGGCAGGTGGGCAAGGGCAGGTAGACCTGGCAGAGCTTAGGGAAGCAGCAGAATAGCAGCAGGTGCTTGAAATGCTGATTTGGCCACATCCATGGAGATCATGTGTGATGATTTTAAAGGTTTCTTTACCATTGACCAAAGAAGTAAGATGTGCCGCACAAGTGTAGTTTTTAGGCACTTGAATAGAGTGGTATAAGTTATTGACTGTACATAGTTGTTACTTTTTTTAGTGAAAGTAGGTTACGTTCATACCTCTCAGGGGAGGACGCAGTGGACTCCTGCCTTACACCTATATGGAGGCCAGGGGCTCCCCGCTTGCCACAAGAGTATTTTTCAGAATGAATTTGTCAGCATCAGGGACCCATCTTGACCCTCACCAAAAGTCAGGAGCAAGAGAGCTGCCCCACACATTCCAAAGGACAAAATAACTTTTAGTTCCCGTGTCAGAAAGAAGCCAGGTGATAAAATGGGAAAAGATTACAACTGCATTGTAATGGGGAAATTCATATTAACATGAGGTAACTTTTTTTTCCCCCCACCTATCAGTGGTAAACATTTATAAAGGCGAGCACTCAGTGGCGGGAAGGGTGTTGGAAAGCCTTCATATACTCTTATAGCAGTGGAAATGGTACAAGCTTTTGGTAGACAGCTTGTTAGTATCTATCAAAATTTTAATGTGCATACCCTCCTGCCCATCAAAATAACTTAAGAGAAACTTTTTACTCAGTACACTTTTATATCGCTTATGTTTTCACACCAAATGTTTGTATATGTACATGTATTACTTGAGTTATTTAAAAATACGTTTTAAAAAGAATCCAAGCTTCTTTTTAACTCTTCTGTAAACTCTTTGTAAGCTTTGTAATTTTAGTACTCTAAAAAAATCAAGTGTACATTTTGGGTTTTCCAGAAGTGACTGGCAGCAACACATTTGAAAAGAAGGGGCTAAGAGTTGGAAGAGGCCTGCCAGGATCCCTGAGAACAGACCAAGGGCTGTGACCAAGGATTGGAAAGGGATGGCCCCCAGGAACTCAGGCACTGGGTACACATGGACAGTTGTAGTCAGGCTCTGGGAAGGGGTCACAGAGCTGAGCAAGATAAGCCCAATATTAAACATCAACTAGTCACCTTGAAACCAAGACAATGTGGCAACAACCCCACCAATCCCCACCTTATGTTCTCAGTAAGTCAGAACAATCAAGAGATAAAATCTTCCTCTCTCTCTCACAAACACACATATTCCCACTCCCCCAATGACCTCTGAACTCATTATAAAGTCAAAAGCACAGGATGCCTACTAAAGATTACTCCACCCAATAGAAATTAAATTGAAGAACTCCTCCTTCATGCAAATATTTAAGAATGTTAAAAATGTGTATATACACCTTTTCCAACAAGGTCAAATAGGCTTGGCCTCCTGGGCTAGGAAAGCTTTAGGAATTGCAAACATCTGGGCTTGGTACTGGTTATAGTATATACTACAAACAGTAATGAATGTGTGGCCCAGGGGTGCTGTCAAAATAAACATGCTGCAAGCACAAACACTGATAAAAGTCAAAAACCATAAAACAGAGGTTACAAAACAAAGCCAGGATCCAAACACAGTCCATTCAAAGACCTACAAATAAAACACGGAAAACCGACTCAGAACATGTGGACAAATAACATCTGCCGCCTTTGCTAAAGCAAAGGAAGCACAGCGCTTATACCCAGACTGCTGGCTTCCTCTCAGTCAAGCTCATCCACTCCTTGGTGCATTCGAAATAGTCTTTGTAAGTTAAACTGTAAACCCCTGCAAATCCAGGACAATCTGGAAGAAGGCCAGGCTTACTAAATCAAAAAGGGAAATTCTAGAATATTTTAAACATCTTTAACGTTCTTTTGTGCAAAAGCACAGCAGGTTAGGTTACCTGTGATTGAAGGAGGTAAAAGGCCAGCAATCTAAATGCCTGATGCAAATAAGAAGGAAAGCGGGTGGGTAGGAGAGAGAAGCAAATAACATGACTGTTATGGGAGCTGCACACATTTCTGGAATTCTGAGAATTCCTGAGTTCTGTGAATTTGATGTAGTTCATTTATTTGCTCATCTATGAATTTTATACAATTAAGTCATGCTATTGTTAAAGTTCATAAGAAGCATACTTTACAAAATCCAGTGTCATAAAAATACAATCCTTACATGCCTGAATTCATTTCTGGATCCAGAAAGTCATGGCTAAAGAATCATTTACTGAGCCCTCAGTTGGAGGAAGCTACTAATTTTAGAATGAATTGCCCTTATTGCCTAATTTGGCCCCTGAAAATTCACTGCTGCAGAAATTCTAACTTTTTACTTAATAAAGATTGTGTCATCCCTTTCTGAATTTAAAATGCATAAGGCTCAATTTAGCTTTTGCTCTGGCAAAATTAATTTTAAGTGAGAGTGGGGTTTGGGGTACCATATAGAACTTTCTAGCAACCAAACCTTCAAAATGATGGTGGGTTCCTCATCCCTGGAGGTGGTTAGGCAGAGGCCGGATCTGAAGAGGGAAGAGAGTTGTACTTCCAATCCTCTCCAACTCTGAAATCATGTTATTCCAATGAAGCCGGTCATGTCTTGTCACAGTACTCATTCCTCAAATATCTGTGCACCATGAAGGGCAGATGTATCCAACAGAATCTGAGCTCCCAAATCATAGTGGTCACATCCAGCAAGTTAACATGAGACCCTTGCAGAAACTGCCACACTCTCGTACAGATGGTTTTTATTAATATCAAGGGAATGATCATTAATACCATCTGGAGAGTTGAGGTAATCAGTAAACTTTAAGATCAATATGGCCTTAAAGATCAACCTTCATAAGTGCATGAAGGCAGGAGAAGCCACAATGAGAGAAAGAAAAAACAGCTCTGACCATTTTGTGCTTTAGCCACTTTAAGGCTGGAGCTGCTGAGCTCACAGAGCAGGCGCCAGTAAAAGCCACAGCTGTGCCCTTCAGATGGAGTTGCTTGGAGGCGGCAGGGGAGAAGAGGGCCTTTGTGGCCACCAGGCCAGCAAGACTACTAATAGGGTTCTCATGGACCCACATAGGAGCAAGGAGCCACAACAACTGAAAAAATGGAGCCACTCAGAGGCCAGTGAGTCAGTGCCAGGGACTGGAGCATGGCCCATCCCACAGGAAGTGTTTGTAGCATGGGCATTAAGGGAGATAGACCCACTGGGAGAACACTGGGGCACAGCAAGGACAGCTGATCTGCCCCCCCCACCCACCCCCAGTCAGCGAAGGGCCACTCAGAGGAGACTGGTCAGGAATATAGAATTGCATGGGGAGCAGTTTGATGAAAAGACTCAGGCCCACATCAGAGTAACTACATGACCCAGATGCACCGAGTC